ATATTTAAAGCTAAATGTACCCAAGTGGTCCATTTATTACATAAAAATAATAGATTTACAAATAATGATGTTTACTTACAACTTACAATGGCCAAGAAAATATCAACTTGGCCCATACCATATTTTATATCCTTTTACAAGTTAACATGAGAATAAGAATAAAGAATATACACTTATGGTTAAGTCAAGAATCTATCTCCCAATGAAGTATTGCACTTGCTTATGCATTTGGATTTAGGGGAGATAAGGAAAGACGCAAAAAATACCAACTGATAAAGGAGAAAATACCTACAAGTTAATGATAAAGATTCCAACACGTTACAAGTTTGACCAAAAATTTTTCTTACCATGAAAATGATGTTATTTTATTAAGATAGTTGATTCTTTTAAAGACAAATATTCCTGTTCAAAACCATATGCAAGGATTGTGTATTTTACTGATTTTTTGCATGTTCAGATTTTAAGATTAATCTTTAAATTTTTATATTTTATTATATTTTAAGATAAATATAATAAATTTATAACATTAAATTTATTTATTTATTTAAAAAAATTAATGCATCATTTATTTAAATTAAAATAGATTTTTATGAATTTTATTGCAAAGATAGTTTATATTTTGAAGATTGATAGTTAAACCCTCAACGTACATCATATTTGCACACAAATGAACTCAATTTATTTATTTATGTTTTTTTTCATGTGAGATTGCAAAATTTTAGGCTGAACTAAAACTAAACTACTGACTTGTATGTTTGAGATAAATAGTGTGAAATTTTTATACTTTTAATGAGATAAGATCAAACATTTCATGTGCAGTACTTGCAATATTGAATTTGAATTATTAGACATTTTGATTAAACAAATCCAAAAGCTGGACCCCATGATGTTTCATTTTAATGAATACATTATTTTTTTTACTTCAACTTATGCAATTCTTTATTTTATAACTGTATTCTATTCTCCTCAATACTCAAAATCACTAATTTTTTACTTTTGATTGCAAATAAATAAAATTATCAATAAAAATTATTGTTAAATATAAATTATATGTAATTTATAATTTTTTATCATGGATAATGGAGATATTGTAAAAAATTATTTTTTCAATGCTCATGAATGTTGAAACAGTCAAATATTTTATTAGTATATAATACACTAATGCACACCAGTAATTAGGTTTATAAAAAATAATAATTTGTAGTTTAAAGTATCAGATGAATTGTGCTATTAAATTTGGTTAAAAAGTTTCAAGAAAATAATGGTATGAGCTACAAATAGTAATACAATGTTGTTTATATTTCATGATATGCCCTTAACCTTTTTGAAGATAAATATCAGTTTTGTAAGATGCCCGTGATAAATTTGGTATGATAGTCTTAATACATGCTATGATCAAGATGAGATCTTTATGGATTCAAACATGGATTTTTAGATTTCTGATGAGTGGATCATTATTTATTTATTTTAATAACTTGATATAAACATCTATTATTACTAGAGATGATGTAAAAATATATTGTTTATTTTCATTTGGAGATGTGTTATGTTATAGGTTGCAAATTATGGTGATGTCAGATTGAAGTTTAGCTAAGCATGTACATCGTATGTTGGGGCATCCATATGGTACAATTTTACTATGAAGAATATATTTGTGTGTGTTTATTTTAAGGTACGCAGTTGTAAAATATTCTATCGTGTGCATGAGAATTATTTAAGATGAAAAAAATCATGTGATGTAATGATTTATTATATCCTATCTTTATTATATATATATATATTCCTTCTATCTTTGAATTTTTAATTGAAAAATGATTATATTTGTAAGTAACTAATGCCAAGTCTTTGAGTGTGGTGAGAAATAAAAATGTGAATATTAAGTTAATATATATGTTCAGTTGGTAGAAAAATTGTTTAGTAACATTAGCTATTAATTTTTCATGTTGTAGTTTGAGTAGAGCTATGAGGTAGGGCTATTATATGTTTTGGAATTCAAATCAAAATTATATACTCTCTGAACTTTGGAGTTCAAAGGATTATTATTTATCCATTTTATTATGCATGTTTTATCTTTAATTTTTTTTCAAAATGCATGTTTGTGATTATATTGTCTATGAGTTATGTATCATGTGTATTTTGAAGGAGGAAATTTGTACTGATGAAATACAAGAGGAGCTATTGATAATAATTCTTGATGTTGATTGTTTTATACAGATAGAATTTTTGGGTATTTATTTATTCTTTAGTGTATACTACACTAACATCCAATAATAAGGATAACAACACTTGGTAAAAATACAAATCATTTACCCTACTTAAGAAACATTTGATTAGTGAATGACACTTGACTTGAGTTATATACACAATTGTGATATATTGGATTGATGTGTAAATTTTTTTATGAATCATATTAGGAAAAAATATATATAACACACACAAGATGGAAAATAAAATATAGATTTTAAATCATTTTGCTCTTTGGCTAAAAAAATTCATTTCTATTATTATTTGAATTTATGCCAATTTTTTTTAAAAAATCACTTATAATCCCTAAGTTTTTTTCTATATACAATATTTGAAACTCAATCACTCCACAAATTTAGCTGCAAAAAAATTTAAAAAAATTAGTTTCAGAAAGTTTTTTTAAAAAAAAAATATCTTGGAAGATGCAAATCATGTGAATGTCAATAGCCAAAGTTGATACCGCATTCCACTATGGATGCAAAACTAACTCTAGCCGTCTCTCTCTTGGAATCTGAAGAAAACTCCACATTGAAGGTACCACAAGGTGCTAACACCATGATAACCTAAAACATGCCATCACCATAGGCACTAACGAAGTCTAAAGGTCTACAAGTCATGTGTCATTGAGGAGAAACAAAGATAGTTGGACTCATGTGTAAATCTAGATTCACTATCGGTAGCACACATGAGTATTAACACTCAGAAAAATAAAGCAAGAACACAAACCAATATGATGCATAAACAGAAAACCAAGATGAAGTCATATCAATCAACAGAAAGATAAATCATGATTCTTCATCTCAAAACATCCATCAAAGGGGTCAAACCCATCCAATCCAAATTGACATATCCTTGGCAAGGCAGTAAAAATACTAAAACTCAATTTTTGAGATATTATTCTCTCCAAATCAATATTCTAACACTAATAATCTAATTATATAAAATGTTACTTTTTTAATTCTCTACGTAATGTAATTTTTTTTTGCAAACATAGATTATTTGTATCTTCTATGGAATTTCAAAAATCTTCCTCTATTAAACTGATTCATAACTTCATACCAATGGAGTAAGTACATCGAGTCTACGGAGATAGGTGGCTAATGTCAAAATTTGTAGCTAGTTTTTATTAATAATCATATGGTAGTTGCTCTATATAAGGATATTACATTAGTTTTTGTTCTTGTTCATTGGCCATACTTGGCCAAATAATATAAAAGAGAAATGGGAAGACCCCCATTTCTTTTTTACATGAATGAAACCAAAAGGGTAACGTGGCTAGCCCCAATATCAATACATAAAATGTGTCATGTTGTAGATAAAATATCATAATTATCTACGCCAAACATTCTACAAATTACATAAACTAAAAATCATCATTAACTCGATCATAGACTCTCGGTCATGGTTGTTCTCTAGGTTATTTATTCTCGCCAACTCATGTATGCAAGGAAAATCTACAGTAGCTTCAAGAACCGAAAAAAGAGTACAAGCTGCTGGAAGCTGCTAGTTAGCCCCATGTTACATGTTACATGCCCCCGGTTTGGTTCCATCCTTGTACGCTTTGATGGGTCTTCCCATCCCTTTTGTGACATTCCAAGGTTTGGGATAAACAGAAAAAGACCACCTTAATAAACATGAACAAAACAAAGCATCTTTCTTGTACCAAGTACCGTAATACCAGACCGTATCATGAGACTTACGTGCAGTAGACTCCTTGCGTACAATCACTCTGTGCTGCCACCTCGCGGAGTCCTGATCACTGATTGCGATTCGGTGTTTCGTTACAATTATTAAGCTGCGCCGTCAAATTTACATATAGACTGCACATTGATTATCATCGTAATCAACTTCATTTCGTGTGATTCACATGTTCCAATCTCTATAGAGATTTAGTGGTTTGCGGCTTCGACGACTGAAGTGGGCCTCCATACATTCATTTCATGCATATCACAGTCGGAGGAACAAACAGCCTAAACCCAACACTCTGGCGCTTCCCAGCCTGTTCGAATGATGTCACCATTTTAGCTTACACGGAGTTTTGTTGTGAAGAAGCTCCGCACTGCAAAATGAGGCACAGCTTTTCGAGAGGTTGGCAAAATCTGCACATGATTTCAACTGCACGATGAGACTATCGATTGGCCTTCGCCAGCACGTATTCCACGGAAATTGTCATACCAGCTGGAGAGGTGTCATTACGGGGTTTCATGGTGGATAGCTGTTGTCAACTCGGAGTTGTTGGTCTGGGGTCCTGGAAGCAGAAATACTCCTTCCCCATGGAAATTGTTCACATCTGTCTCACATCTGGACAGACAGTTCCGCTGACTATCAAGTTTGGTCTCGAAACCTTCATGCTGACTGGAAAACACGTTTTTTTCAGTCTTTGGCGACGGTCCACTAGACTATCGAGCGAACGTAGTATTCGCACGAACTCAGTGGCGATTGTCTTTACTATGAATTAGCTTTCGATGAGAATCCGGCAGGCACGTGTATATACTACATGTACAAGGAGCGATTGAGTTCATGTTCAAATTGGAAACCTGCGTTGAGGAAGATTTTCACTGTAACGAGGATGCTGACGGTGGCATCTGCGTGCGCTGTGGCGGCGCTCGACTCACTGAGGTTCGACGTCAGTCCCTTCTTCGAAGCCCGAGATTTTCTGAACCCTTAGGAAAACATGCATTAGCACTTGACTCAATCTCATCTCTAGCCGTTACACCAATTGCACTTTATAAAATCAATTCTTAACGATGCGTCAAGTCAGGATGGCCGAGTGGTCTAAGGCGCTCGACACAACCTCTCGTGAGGGGCATGGGTTCATATCTCCCTTCTGACATCTTGCAAACAAGCCGGTCATAGGGCGAGCTTGTAACAGAACTACTCTCACAAATTTTGGAAACCTCAGTAATGCTCATTCCAAGGAGGAATTCGATGTTCAGGAAATTTGTTTGTACAATTATTTCTTTCACCCGATTCCTGTGTTTTCCTCGAAAGCTGATGATGCACATTTGGTTGGTTGATTCAGAGGCAGTCTGTTGCTGTGTGGAATTGATCTGGAGTCACGGAATTGCTCACAAGTCCGAGGGCTTTTGCTTGAATTATTGCGACGTGCATTCCTTTTCATGCACTTGCGGCACTTTTTTTTCCTGCTGCAATCAATGAGTCAGATAGAGCCGGGTCTCTAAAGAGGCTGGATACCGACGCATTTTGGTTTGGAGCACCGAGGACTTGGAAGTGGACCTTTCTGTAGTAAATCACATCTGTAGCTGAAGGCATTCTGCCTTTGTGGGGTTGAAACATGAGTTGTTCTCGTGCAGGAGCCCACTCCAATAAGAAGTTGTCTTTAGCGTGCACGATGTCATCACTAGCAGGGATTCAGCGCTGCTGAAGTTGCTTGCCATAAGGACCCGAACGGGGCTAATTGAGCTCAGTTCTTGCGATAGGCAGACAAATCTTGCAGATTCAAGTGAACTTGGCTCAACTTCAGTCATCGCGCAGCTGCAAACGAGGAGGGACAAATTTACAAGCCAAAGAAAGAAGAATTACACAGCTCTTTACCAAATTCGTCGTTACACTGCTTGTCCGGGACTTCGAGCACTAAAAAGAATACATCAATACCAAGAAGATACATGCCGAGACAGTGAAAGCGAGGCCAGAACAACCCAGCCCTGCGGGCAAGGAAACCATGGGGCAAATTTCCTTTCTAGTATGCCCTCCACCTCCTCAGACGAAGTGGCCGAGACCAGACATGAACTCCAAGCGGCGGCCGGGGCAGAAGGCGGATCGTCCTGTTGAGAGCCGAAGTTAGCACAGGTGATTTACAGTACGCTTTGTAGAATATGCAGAGATTCACGATTGGAAAGAGGGCCTACGAACTCGAATACGCAGATTCCAACACTGGGCAGTCGAGAATGGTTCTTTCGCTTGTCCCTTTACTTTTCCAGTGTCGGTACAAGAGGCTGTTCTGTTTACGTTCAATGCTGTTCTCTACAGAGTTGTAATGAACAGTTAAAATGTGACCTCGTGTGTTCACGTGTTCGTCGATTTTGAAGGGAGGTCATAAAACCCATAAGCTATGTACCCTTGATGACATTTCTGGGTGAATATAATCCTAACCACGTTTCTTCCGTCGTATACCTTTCTCGGCCTTTTGGCTAAGATCAAGTGTAGTATCTGTTCTTATCAGTTTAATATCTGATACGAGGGTCATCGACCCTCACGATATTAATCTTTTTTCTTTCAGGGTGCGATCCCACTCAGGCAGCTTGCTGTCTGGGGACCGCCAGTGTCGCCTTGGTATTGCACTACCTCCCAGGCCGGCGCAGCCTGTCCGTCCCCTCTTGCGGGGAGACCCAAATGATCACAACTTGGAAACCTGTATGACTGCCATGAAGGAATAACACTAACATTTGATGAGATGATTTTACCCGCTTCTACCCTGCGCTTCTACCCCGCCTGACGTCACATGCACAGTCCAGATCAGTGGTATGATCTGTGGACAAGATCTCGCAGCTCTGGGAGCTGAAGAAGGTTTTCCATTGCCTCCAGTCCTCTGAATGCGGCATAATGCAGGATAGTCAAAACCTTCGCAGTGGTTTTCTTTTGACATCTCTTCGAGCATTTGAAGCCTTTCCCCTGCTTCAATCTGTCGTCGTTCTAAAAGCAATGCCATCGACCGCATGAATTCTACCCAAATCGCATCATGATCCTCTCTATTAAAATGTGAACCCTCAGTTCCACAAACAAAAGGGCTGCACTTTCCAATGCTTCGAACATGGGAGAACCTGCTTCTTGACTTCTTTTTACATCAAAACGAGAACAGAAGATACCTGGGCACAAGGAGTTATCCTTGGACGTCCTGCTCGTTTCCTGCCCAATACTATAAAGAGGAGATTCCAAGGACATCTGAAGTGCTATAGTAAAAGCTGATGCTCCATCTCCTGTTCTTGACAGCAAGTCACGAACGTTACACAATGCCATCATAAACTGGAAAATATTTCTCTATGGCGTAGTGCAGAGGAATGACTCCGTCTCGCTCCTCATTCCAGAGAAACTTTAGTACATGCCCGGTATTGGGGTCATAAGCAGGATCCTGCCCAATGGACTTTCGCACAGCCTCACGTAAGACTTCTTCTCCGTCGACGCACATCGCTCCTTTAGCGCTGTAAGTAAACCTCTTTTGTTCTGCATTCAACTCCATATTTAGAAGACATTCAATCAGATGTGAGTGACCTTTCCTTGCTGCCAAATGCAATGGTATATATCCATAAGAGTCCGCGGAAGCTACGTCATATAGAAGGCTAGCAAGCATGGAGTTAAAACTGGTGATGCAGTCTTCTAATCTTTCCGGTTCACACTGACAAGCAGCAGCAGCTAGATAATGCAAAGCTGTCCGTCCTATGATATCTCCAGCATTAATGTATTGAATTATGGCAAGGTATGCGTCTGTCATGCCCGACAAGTTGAAGAGATTGCACCAGAAGAATCCACCCAAGTCGGTGGTATTTGACTGGATACTCTGGGCACTTTCATCCGTACTTACATACTGTCCCCAAGTCTTCTCCAGGTCAATCTTAGCGACCCAACCAGCAAAGTTGGAACCAGTCCTGTTTATCTGCTGCAAGAATTCTCTCCGTGAATCTTGAAAATAAGTTTTCAAAGAGATTAATACTAGTTTAGTTATAGTTGTTTACACCGAGCTAGTAGAGCATGGTATGAAAGAGCAAAAGAAGTTTTTTCTCAAGAAGTTATGGTTTAGCTACTAAATACTATGTGTTCTACCTCTAATAATCATGGAGAGAAATGTGAGATATTAAGAGTAATCCCAATTTTTGGCATGTATTTTTAGAAATGGTAATTGCTCTCTTACTAAAAGTTTGATCACAAAGTTAAATATTTTTGCATGTGATCCCTGACCTTGTGAGGCAGAGTCCTGCTCGAGGTGCAACTTCACCCTCGAAATTGTTGTCGTACGTATCAGGATTGTAGATGTACGCCAGTTGTTCACATGAAAACCAAGCACTCATAAACGATAGTCACCGATTGATTTCTTCTCTGTCGAATAAATATCTTCAGAATCTTGTGGAGTGTGCGCATGGACTTGTTTTGACACTCGAGTGATACTGATACCTTTTCAGCTAAGCCTGGGAACTCAATTCACATTTTAACCGTAGGAAGAGACCGAGTTTTCCATGTGTGGGAGAGAGGCTATATGACAAGAAACTTTATCCGAAGGCCCATTTGGACTCTCGCTTCGCAAGTAGTGGACACTTGCAAGCTGTGCACGTAGTCGACGCTTGTTCAGTAATTTTCAATCCAGGAGGCCAAGTCTTGGAGGCCCGTGCTTAGTTACATTCATCTAATTCTATTATCGTAATAAACTTACTATCATGTATTGTGGATGTGATGGGTTTTACGCGACTCTTGCTCTACACGTTAAGAAACGAAGCCATTTTTTATATCTATTATTGATGGTTATGGGAAAAATCTGCGATTTCAGAAAAGAGAATTTGGTCGAAATGCTAAAACAGCAGAACCTTGAGCATCGGATGACTGGATTTGTTTATTGTTTGAGATTTCAGCCAGAGATAGAGATATACTTGAAAGTGTCTTTTCTGAGAACAAATACATGGTTCTGACATGAAGTTTAATCAACAAATCACATGTCAGAACCATGTATTTGTTGGCACAAGTTTTGCAGGTTGTCAAAGGGTAAGCATCACATGAAATCATCTACTTCCAATCATGGAACAAGTAAACGATCAGAGTAACTTGGAGTCACACTTTTTATATGTACATCTTCAATATCCAAGTGTTGTGAAGAAACTAACTAGATCAGCCGATATATATGAGTCAGAAATGTTTTCAAAAGAAACGAGGCTACCATTGCATATTATATCAACTTCAAGGAGTACCAATTTGCTGACAGGTTCCCTCGGATGAAACATGGATACCTAACTTGTTTGAGAGAATTTGCTTCAAGCATCTTCATAACTCAGACAAATTTCTCATGACACAATAATTTTTTGGGAGAGGAATTTTTCACGCTGAGTCGGATTCTTTAATATCCGCACGTTTTAAATTGTCATGACATTGTACATTTTCTTTGTACGACCCATAATGGGGATTTGTAATGGAATCCCCCTTGACAGCTACTTCTCTACTTTCTGCTATTGTCATGAATCCCACATTCCATGGGCTGCGTGACGTTCAATTTTACTCTGCAATCCTACCTATAGTTGCAAAAATGGTTTGGTGGACCAAGTGCTGGTAGCATCACCAATGGTTTGTTCTAATAAATGGCCATTAGTGCTCTGAAGTTGTGATGAGCTGAGTTGACCAGGTTTTCAGAACAAAACTCCGGCAGTTTTAGCGCCGACGGGCACCATCGGTGTCACTGCTGGTCTCCTTCCTAGTGACATTGAGATCTTTTGCTGGAAGATGGTAGCATCTTCACGTTGTTCGACAGGTAACCGCAGCGTTTGCTCAATGGACTTCTCGACGTCAGCATAATACCCAGCGCAGTTTCTGTAAACCTCATAAACAGCACCCATCTGAAGAGCGTGTGTCAAAGTATGCGCGAATAGGGAGCCCACGGTAACTGCTGCAGCTACAGATGGACAGCCTGCCATGTTCAGAACAACACCCGCTGTTGCGAACAAAGGAGAACTGATGGACAAGATCAGGTTGATGATTTTAGCGCTGTTGGCCATACTTATGTATTCTGGAATGTCGGACGTGCGCAGAAGTTGAGCAGTGCGCTTGAGATCTTCTACTGCAGACCATGTCCATCCATTTTTGTGAGAATGTTGGGATACTTCAACTTCAGGTCGAGCT